TTTTATACAACCATGTTATTGCAGTTTTATAAATGACTTGCTTGCACGCATCAGAGTTTCATTTATCTATTGTGACTGACGTCATGAGCAATAAAAAATATATTTTTGGCACATTATTGTTATATTATACCTGTGTTCATAATGTTTGCGAGTACATTCAAAGTACTCACTGGCTTGTCCCTGGCTATTGTCTTGGCCAGATTTTTTTGCACGGAGAGGAGCGACGCGATGCTAGCCCCGGAACCCACTCAATGGAGATAGCAGCCTCGCGAAGATAGGAGTTAACCTGGTCAGCTGTTCCTGTGGGAATTGGAGTCCCATAGACACTGATGATCCTCAAACCGCTTCCGCCATCAACCACTAGAAACCATTTGTTGTGCTCAAAGGCCAAAATGGCCTTGTACTACATATTTTTTTTTCTGCTTGGAATTTCTGTATCAAGTTGGAGCCTCATCAGCTAACAGTAATCCTGGGGCTGATGAGCGCGACGGTCTCTTCTGGAATTTTATTATCCGGAAAACCGGTCGCGACAGACTTGAATCAACATTGATCGGTCCAACCGCTGAAGTAAGGCTAACACCCTCCATGATCGCATGTAGCTCTGCATCGAATGTCTCGTTAATGGTAATTATCTGCATGTAGCTCTGCCGTTACTGGGAATTATCTGCAGTTCTTTTCTTTGCATAATTGCATCATAAAGTCGTATAGATAGAACACATGGGTTTAGGTCTAGGACGTATAATCCGGGCAATGTTCAAACTTCAAATCACAGCAGTAACGGGGAAGGAAACCCATCCGTAAAAGGAGAGCCGCGGTGAACGCCACGCATCCCGGCCGTCCGACCAGAGAGACGGACGCCCGAGATCTCTCCGTCCCGGTAACGGCAGCGGCCCGGGCTCACCACCCCCTGCACGGCGTACGCTTCGGCGCTTCGCCTCCGCTTCGAGTTCGACACCGCGCGCACGCACGGCCGCTCTGTTTCCTCCTCCTCCGTTCCGTTACGCGGCCTCGTTGATCCCCTCGGAAGACTTGGACTTGTCTTCAATTCCTTCGCTTTCCCACCCGACTCCCCTGCCTCCTCCACCGCGTGCGTGCTGGTCGCAGCTCCGGGGGGAGACCAGACCAACCAGACGACCTCGCCCGCCCGCGGCCGGAGCCCGCCCACTCGCTCGCCCCGCCTCACGGCCTCCTCCTGCCG